TTGAAATAAATTTTGGGGAAAAATTTTGGAAACTGAAACCTTAAGAAATTACTCAAGTGTTGGAAGCATCAGTAATAAATTTTCACAGTGTTTCCTGAATGGGTGTATAATATTTGTATATAAATTTGACCCTAATCTACATGTCTATTGTAAAACGCTTCGATCAAGTAATATTGCACAACTTTGACCTAGAAAAGCACTTAAAAATAAAATATTCATGCTTGTGTGGAAAAATGAACATAAATCCAGCCAGTTTGTGACTTATTGTCATACAGAATATCAGATGGGTCATACAGAATATAAGACTGGCACAGGCTGATGCTTGTGCCAGTAACGTAGGAAATCTGAAGTCATATTGAAACTGGTATTTCCATGCAGGTTTTTTTAGTCCCATTGGTTGTTTTTCATTCCCTTAGCTGTTTTCTGTCTCCATATAGAAATGATATTTTAAATTACTTTCATTTGCAATGCTCTCATTGTCCCAGGTCTCCTGGGATAAGCGAGAAATAAAAATACAATATTCAGGAACAGTGATGAAGTCAGTGTGTGCAATCTGAAAAAAAACCAACATAAACCAGTCTAGCAGCAGGAAAGCCATCTCCTGGTTGACAGTACTGGTGAGGACAGATGTCCCTGTGCAGCCCTTGCTGTGCTAATTGACGTGTTTGCCATCTGTGGTGCCTGTCGGAGCAGCTCCCGCAGCTCTGCCGGGGCCACGGGCAGCCCCCTGCCACCTCGAATCCTCCCCAGCAATTCAGGCTTGCTCAGAGCACCTTTAGGACTATTTCACGTTTCTGAATAAAGCAGGATACTTGGAAAAGATAAAGGGTGCTCCCCTTGTATGTTCTGTCAGCAAAAACAATGTGAATTTGTGGAAGTTTTTCCAAATCAACATCTCACCTTGCCTCAGATGCTCAGTCCCGTTTGCAGGGGCTGCATCTCCCTGTGGAACTTTGTCCCTGCAGGAGGGGAGGAGGAGGGGCAGGCACTGATCTCTGCTCTGTGGGGACCAGGGACAGGACCCCAGGGAACAGTTGGAGCTGTATCAGGGGAGGCTGAGGTTGGATCTCAGGAAAAGGTTCTTCCTCCAGAGGGTGGTTGGGTGCTGACCAGGCTCCCCAGGGCAGTGGGCACGGCCCCAAGGCTGCCAGAGCTCAAGAGAGTTTGGATAACACTCTCAGGGACAGGGTGGGATTGTTGGGGTGTCCTGGGCGTGGCCAGGAATTGGACACAATGATCCTTGTGTGTCCCACCTCAGGACCTTTTGTTATCCTGTCCCTTTCTGACCTTGTCTCTGCAGTAATGCTTAGAACTGTTATGATCTGATTTCATCACGTGGTCTGTAGATTTCTTCATTGTCCCCTTTCCCTTCTCTTTCTCTCAATTTGGGAGTTTGTTTCTGGTAGTCAGTGGGAGAAAAAAAAAAAGCCCCAAAACTTCGCTGAATGGGATTTTGAGTGTTGGTCAAGCCTCTGGAGAAGGGAAAGTGCTTGGTTTGAACTGAGCATTGCATTTAGTTTTCTAGGATTTGTAAATGATTTACAAGGAGATAAATTTCTTTATTGAAGATGAATATACTCTGCTTTTTAGATGAGACTGGGTGAGTAATTTCCCCAAGACATAGACTTACAGAAAAGAGTAAAATCACATGCATAATTTACTCTTGTCTATTTGTGGTGCCTAAGGAACATAATATTTGTTATAAAAAATGAAAGAGTAAAGTAAAATTTGTCTGAATTCCAACAGGTGTTACGTAGACTATAGTCTGGAAAATGGTGCTGGCCATTTAAACTCAGTTTAATCCTCAGCCTTATGATGTCTAAATGAAGAATTTTTGTCTTAGAGAAAAAGCAGCAATTCAAGTTCCAGTGTGTCTCTTTTGCTTTGGAGGCTTCTTGGGATGTAGGTGTATTTAAACAGGCCTTATAAACATGGGATAGGAGACGTGTGCTTTGCATTCCCCCCTGACAACGAGGTATAAGGCACGATTTCAAAGTCACGTGTCGCGTCTCAGTGAACGTGATGAGGATTGTTGAAAAATGCTGGAGCAATTTCCTGTGCCATTCCAGCCATCCCTTCCATGCTGGTGAGTCCCTAGTCACGTGCTGACCTGCTGGAGCTGGCCCACCACTGAGCACATATGTTCTGGGTTGGAAAACGCCTTTTTCCGACATCTCTTCCATTTTCAAACGCGCTTTAAAGTCCCTCCTGTTTCGGAGTTTTGTTTTGCTGCTCGAAGAGGCATGAGATGAAAATTTCTGCCCCCACAGCTGTCAGTGCTGCCCAGGGAATATCCCTTTCTGGGTGAAGTCAGCTCTGTAGAGGAGTAGGTTGTGTTTGGGGGCATGGTGCAAATCGCGCGTACCCTTTTTACAAGTCATATGAGGAGAGGCTGAGGGAGCTGGGGGAGCTCAACCTGGAGAAAAGGAGGCTCAGGAGGGACCTTCTCACTCTCTACAACTCCCTGATAAGAAGGTGGAGCCAGGTGGGGGTCGAGCTCTGCTCCCAGGGAAATAGGAACAGAACAAGAGGAAACAGCCTCAAGTTGCACCAGGGGAGGTTCAGGTTGGTTATTAGGGAAAATTTCTTCACTGAAAGAGCTGTCAAGCACTGGAACAGGCTCCCCTGGGGAAGTGGTGGAGTCACCATCCCTGGAAGTGTTAAAAACAATTACAGACATGATGCCTGGGGACGTGGTTGGGTGGTGGACTTGGCAGTGTTGGGTTAATGGTCAGATTCAATGATCTTAGAGGTCTATTCCAGCCTTAATGATTCTGTGATTCTTTGACTTTTAGTGAAACTCCTCCCTTGCATTGAGGGGCTTTGCAGGCCTCTGCAAGCTGATCAGACTGCACTTGTTTGGTTTTTGTGGAAGGCTTGTCCCTGTGTCAGATCCCATCAGCAGCGAGTGACTGCCCTGCTCTCTCCTAACTTCTGTAACCCATGCTGGGTCACCAAAAGGCTATCCCATGGCTCAGAGCCTGCAGTTCCTCAGGGGGGGAAAGGGTCTACCCTGCCTTGGAAGCTGACTGGGAGCTCTCAGAGGAGTGGAGAGCTTTGACATGCTGTTGTTTGAATCATGGGAGATAACACAGACACATTTCATGACTGCTGGAAGCTGTCACAGTGTCACTGAGCACTAGGTACTGAAAATTAAATGAAGTGAGGTAATAATAACTACAGCGTGCCTTTATCTGGGGGAGAAGGGTTGTGTTTCTTAGAAGCTGAAGGTAAAATGAAAGTTTGATGAGTTAACCTAGAGGCAGAAGCTCCACAGCAGCTGTAATTATACACCTGGAGTGAAAGGTGAGTCACCATCTGCCTGGACTGTGGCAGGACTGATATGTTCAGAACAGCATCGCTTTCATCTTGGGGAAATGGTGCTTGGGCCCAGTGCTGTCACCTGAGAGGGGTGGGAGAGGGACAGGGGCACTGCTGGGGGTGGGTCCTGGGCCACCAAAACACACAGTGGGGACTCTCAGCACATTAGGAGCATGACTGGTGTTCCTTGATGTCCTGAGGATGATGTTTCTAGGGCTTCCCATTCCTGATGTACCCCATGGGTGGTGATAGGATTTGGGATAGCCAAGGACTCACCCTGAGCTGCGTGAGCTGAGGAATCCTTCCAGTGTGGGGTCCATGGTTTCCTCTTGCTCTCCTGCAGGCACCTTTGTGTTCCTCTGAGACGAGCCCTGAACTTCAGTGTTTTCCAGGTGTCATGCAGGGGTGAATAAGCATAAACAACTTGACACTTCTATCACAGCCAAACCTATAGTTTTATCAATGTTCCAACTGGGTCGGTCTCTTCTCTCAGGCAACAAGCGATGAGGTGAGAGGAAATGGCCCCAAGTTACACCCTGGGAGGTTTAAATTGAATATTAGAAAATATTTCTTCATGGAAAGGGTTGTCCAGTATTGGAACAGGCTGCCCAGGGAAGTGGTGGAGGCACCATCCCTGGAGGGATTTAAAAGACCTGTGATTGTGGTGCTTTGGGGACCTGGTTAAGTGGTGGCCTTGGCACTGTTTGGTTTGATAATCTTAAAGGTCTTTTCCAACCTAAACAATTCTATGATATCAGGTATTATTTGGCAGATATGTATAACACTTATTGCAGTTCTTTATACTGCTGAGACAGATATATGGACTCAGTTATTAAACCCTCATGCTTGCAAGTCTTTTTTTCTTTTTTTTTTTTTTTCCCCCTGGCAAGTCACTAGATGTTCATACTTTAATATAATCAAAAAATAGGAAAAGGCCCCCCACTCAAGTGGGTTGTTCAGCACAACCACCCATTCCTATCCTGTATCCTTAAATTGGAATGATCTTAAATTGAAGTGTCATTCAAAATATGTGCATTTTTATATCAATTTAAGCAACCGTACCATTCCTTTTTCCCTGTCTGTGCATATAGAACCTGTCATTTGTCTTTCTTCACGTGACAAAAATGTGGTGCAGTTCATTCCAGTGATGAGTTGCAGTCCACATGCAGCCAGAGGGGTTCCTTTGAAGCAGCACAAGGCATGTTTTATTGATTTATACTTTGAGTTCATCGATCTGCTTTCAGAAAAAAAGTATCATCTTCTACTGGTATTTCCAAAAGCTGCCAACAGCTATTCCAGCTTCATCCCAAATATTATTTATTTGTGCTTTATGATCTGTTTTCAGAAGTCATTGCTTACATGTACATGTGTATATATGTACCTAGGTCTTATTAAAATAAATCTCCTAATTCAAAGACTTTTTTTATGATTAAACCTGGCAGGAATTTTTATTAAATGGAGCCCATAAGAATTCTGTTCAGAACATAAGGACAAATCATCTTGCAAAAGCAACATTTAAGTGGAATATCTACCTGTTTGTTGATATGTGATAGGTGTTTGTTGATAGGTGACACAGTTTGTTGCTTTCCTTAAAAAAGTAATTTATAGGAACGCAGATACAAGTGGGCATTTTCTACTTCCCTGGAATTTTAATTTGATTTATTTTATTTTATTTACAGGATTAGCCGGCACTGCTGCGGACCTAGAAAAAAGAAAGCTTATTTTTGGAAAAAATTTTATACCTCCAAAGAAGCCAAAAACATTCATACAGCTAGTTTGGGAAGCGTTGCAGGATGTGACTCTTATAATCTTGGAAATTGCAGCCATCATATCTTTGGGGCTTTCGTTTTATCAGCCACCTGGAGAAGGGAATGAAGGTAAAAACTCTTTATAGAAGTCATCTCTGTGAGTTTAAGTAAAGCCAGTCCTTAAATCAATGTTGATCTCAAATCAATGCCATCACCGCTCTCCAGAAGGTCACTAACAGGAAATTTCCATGTGGTTTGTTCCTGATACTGTTACATCTGGTGCTGACATATTTTTTTTTTTGTATCCTGACATTTCTTTATGCAAATCCTGCACCTTGTGACACATGCTAAGAAAAAGCACAACATTCTTATCGAACGGGAGTGTTTTTGTTGCCGTTTCCACCTCTGTGTTTGGTGTTTGTTTAATTCATCTTGGGTGGTTGTTTACCACGTCACAGAGGAGAAATATGTCATTGCTTATATAACTGATGTATCCAATCCACAGGAACACGGACAAGTCTGGTTTTTACCAGCTGAAGACTCGAACTTAGTGGAATTCACACATTTAAGTATTTTTAGGGATGGGGCTGAGGCTTGTGAGCCTGGCTCAAAAGGGAGTTCTGGAGGCAAACTCATGTTACTGATAAACCATATTCTGCAAAGCTTTCACACCCTCCCTGGCCCCCTTTTTTCTTCTCCCCTTTTTCCCCCCTTTGGAAAGTACTCTTGAATTCACATGCTTAAAATACCCGTTCCTCTCCATAAATGCAAGATTTCCATTTCTGGCGACTGATCCAGATTTTTTTTTTGTCCCCCTCCTGCTCTCTCCCAGACTTATAAAGCTGGATAAAACATGCTGTGTGAAATGACGTGAGCAGCTTGGCAAATGCAGGAAGAATGTCTTCCTCTAAATATAGCCCTGAAATGCTTTTTACATTTGCTGCAGTCTCCTTTGGCTGCTTTCCTTGAAGCCCCTTCCTTCTTCCTTTTCCATTCACCAGCAGAATAAGCACGTAGCCATGCATACCTCTTGGATTATGGTCCTTTAATCTTTTATATACAACAGGGAATCTTTTATTGCTTTCTCACTGAATTTTGAATCTGTGACTATTGATTCAGCAGGTGTTCAATTTAGGCATGAAAAGATAAAGGAGTCATTTGGTTTTTTAATCTAAGAAAATGTTATTTATTGCTATTATCTCATATAACTGGCCATGGTGGAATACTTTGGGGACAATATAAACAATGAATGATGCTTTACAAATTATTATTTAGTTTAGATTTTTTTTTTTGTCAGACATGAATGTAGAGAACCTTCATATTTTATTTTATTTGGTGGGAAAGGAATGTAAAAATAGGATTTTTACAGGTTTTAGCAAGAGGGGAGATGTGTCATCAGACAATTTTTTTTTCTTTTTTTTTTTTTTTAAATGTTATTATTTTGATACTGCACTTAAAATGTTTCTTTTCCCTTGGGGAAGTATGACACAGCTGAGATTCTGAGATAGTCTGAAAAGCTCAGTAGCACAGCCTGGGAAAATATGTTTGTGTTTTCCCACAGCACAGTATTTTATTCACCGGTCGCTATTTTCCCTAGGTTTTTAGGATTGTTTTCCTGGAAGGTTTTGCCCTGATTTACACAAGGAGAATAAATCAAGTTAGTGAATATCTTGTAATCCAGCTTTTTGAACACATTGTGAAGGTCTTCTACATTTTTGGAAGTCTATATTTGAACAGTTGTATAAATAAATCTCTTTCATTTTAAGATCAGCATATCATAAACTACTGCCAAGGATACCTTTGTTTTATTGGTAGATATCCTTTTTAAGAGTCCTAAATGTTGGAAAATGGACATATTAAGCTTGATTTTTACCTTGGTACAGTGGGGAGTATTTACACTTGAAATGGATTTGATGGCTTTGCCCAGCGTTCAGTAACCAGTTACAGAATAAAATATATAGAATATCCTGAGCTGGAAGGGACCCACAGGATCATCAATTCCACCTCCTGGCCCTGCACAGGACAATCTCAAAATCTCACCTGGTGCCTGAGAGCGCTTTAGACTAATACTGAGTTCAGTTCAACGAAGGTTTTACCAAGAAATAAATTATTCTGTTTTGTCTACACTTAAACCAATTTACTGAACAACATAAACTGTTCCTGGAGTTGCCCAGGATCATGGATTCAGACCAGACACGAGCCTGTCAGGAGATTATAGTTCTCTGAAAGGGCAGCAGCTCGAAAGCTTTATGTCTTGTGAAATGTCTGAATCTCACATTCATTACACATTGATCCATTTGTGCATTACTGTTTTAACGGAGAATATGGAAAAAAATCCAATATATAATATCCTTGCAGCAGTTTGAGTTATGCCCAATCTCATTTTGTTGAGGTGAGAGGGTAATATTGCCCATGGGATGTAATATGGAATCCCTATGCAGTGACTGGAAGAGGTGACAAATGTTCCCTTGGGAAGCCTGAAAACCCCGTATTTTCCTCTTCTGACTCTTCCCAGAATGAAAATAATTCTTTGAAATGTACATTTATTAACAAGGCTTATGTTTTTTTCTTGAAAAGAGTATATTTACTTCTGGAAGCACAACCTGATGTCAGGAAGGGGAGCTGACATGTCTTGCTAAGTCTCTGCTCTTGATCTTGTCCAGCTCCTCCATGCTCTTCTTTAAATGTTTCTCCAGCAGTTTCTGGATAAGTCAGTAGTTGTGCTGGGCAGTTTCCCTGGAAAGAAAATTTCTCTCTCTAGATGTTTCTTAATATTTTTTTTTCTTTCTTCTCCCTAAAAGTTGTCAGTATTTCATTCTGCTGGTCGATGGTAACATCAAAGACAAGGCTTGTGACAGGCAAGTTTGTCCCCAGCTCAACAGAAAGTCTCCTTTGGGTAACAAGATGCTATTTTTTGGTGCGTGGCTGTTTTATAGCATATGAGGTGCCTCCTCTTCCAAATTCTAATTTATTTTTTTTTTAAATTAAATGCATTGTCATTTTGAAAATGAGTCAACAAGACTGTTCTTTCCACACTGATTTGTTCGAACATCACTGATAGTAATCTGAGCTCGCCAATTTAGGGTTAACTTGAAAAACTGTGACCACCTAAAGTGACAGTTTTCTTTGTAGGATTAAGGGATGAAAATAAGAGACACAGTGCTGGGAAGACACAGTGGCAGGGAAACACCACTTTGTGTATTTTTTTAATGTAGTCTACATATACACTGCCTTTATATCTAATATATTTATATCTGCCTTTCATATATCCTCAGCTTTTATCTGCCAGTGACCTTACTAGTTAGTATAATAAGTTAAAGTCACATTTATTTTCTAGAATTAATATAACTCTTTCTTTTTGGGCTCCTGAAACCTACTTGTAACTTTTGATGCAGTAACAGAATTAGCATTTAAGTGTTTTCTGCAACTTGAGTGCAAAATATTTGTCCTGATGCTTGTGAAGGAGGAATACATTATCAAATCTACACATCCAAAAATATTAGATTGCATGAACTGCTTCAGGAACCTTGTGTAAGGGAATAGTCTCATGCATGTACTGAATGCATCTTGCTGTATAAAAGGCAGCTACGAGCTCACAAGTTCATTTTCCATCTGTATTTCTTAGATTAGCTGTTTTTTCCCATTTTCAGCTATTAGTGTTCAGACATCCCCAAATTTAAGTCCTTCAACTGTAGCATAATTGCATTTCCAAACATCTACAACACAGTCTGGTATTATCTTGAGGAGAGTAAGTAGATTATTGTGCCCCAGTCGCACTCAGTTGACACTGGTGGAAACAGTTGTCATTTCTGTGGTTTTGAAGCAGCAGTTGTGATATTGCTCAACCAACCCGAACTGGAGGAGTAATAATCTGCTGTTGGAGTTTCTGTTCTCCTACAATTCTTCATTTATGATATGGATGTAAAATCTTGGAAAACCTGCTTTCATTTTCTGGTGCAATCACAAAATCTGATCTGGAGGAATCACTAGATAATTGTGCAGTTTTACTTCTTCTCCAGAAGCCACTTTAGTTCTTTTATTTTCATATTTCTTAGCAAGAGTGAAAGTGTCAAGAATGTTGTTCTCAGAAGTTGTGCTGGAGTTTTTTTTATGATCTGCTTTGTATTCCATTTCACCCTCTGACAGGCCATTAGAAGCAATTGAGAACTTCTGCATAAGTTATTGTCAGCCCTGTGGCAATTACTGCTCTCATTACTGATCCACATGGAATCAGTTTTCCACCCTTTCAAAAAAGTGCAGAACTGCTGCTGTGTTTTAGCAAATGAATATTGAGAGAAAATTCCCAGTGCAGATGTAACCTCTGCTACAGTGAGGATCACACAGGGGTGTGGCTGAGGCAAGGTAAAAATACTTGGTTCCTCAGACAAAACCCTTGTGTGTCCTGGGTGAATGGATTATAGACTATTCCCTGACCATGCCAAGTAGGGGCCCTGTGGTATATAAAGAGGATTTAATTAACATATGATATCCTGGCTTCTTTTTTGTTTGTTTGTTTTTGTTTGTTTGTTTGTTTTGGGGGGAGTTGTTTGTTTGTTGTTGTTTTGTTTTGTGGTTTTTTTTTGTTTTGGTTTGGTTTTGTTTTTGTTTGGTTTTTTTTGTAATGTAGATTAGAGTTAGTCCAGGACTTAATTTGAAACATTTGCCTTTGCATATCAGTTTATAGTGAAATAATTTTTATATACCATTTTTAAAAAAATATCAAGTGCCCTGGTTTTTTTTTTGTATGAAAAGAAAGAGTTGCTTCATGAGGTCAAGTGTTGGTCTCAAACCATTACATTGCTTGAGGAAAGGAAACATCCTTTAGGTAGGAGTGCTTAGACTCAGTCAGAATTCCACCAAGGGAATGGGAATTGGAAGAGCTTCTCTTGGTTGCTCTCAAATCTCTTATTTTGGCTGTAGATCTGCAAGAATCTCCTCCCTGGTGGGTTGGTGGGTTGTGACCATCTCCACACAGTCTGCCCAGCAGGACTGTCCTAGTTTGTCACATCCCCCCATCCATAACCATGTGAACTACCTAAAAATTTTCAGAGTCTTCTGCTGACACCTCCTGAGTCCTCCCCCCTGTTTCTCTCTTCAGGCCTTACATCACATGTAGCTCTTATTCCCTG